GTTTTGTTGTTTGACCACACGTCTGGAGCCTCTCCCGCCCCTCCCGCCAAAGCTGACAGTGCGACTCGCTCACAGGGGCTTACTCGTGACACTGCTGCTCGCTTAGCCATTCGCAACCACCTGCCGTTAGCCGAATGCGCTCACTTCAGACAGCATAGGACTGCACAGGCACTGTACGACGCTGTACCTTGCAAGTGGCTTGACACACTGAGGACTACACTTGCGGCTCTGGGGTTTACTCCTTTGAGTGCTGACCCGTCGCTGTTTCTACGCACCGACATGTTGCTGCCGCCGTTCTACGTCCTCATGTACGTCAACGACCTCGTCTTTGCCACTGCTGACACTGAGGCACAGACCCTTGTGAAGTCGGAGCTGCAAAAGAGACACACTTGCACTGACCTGGGTGAACTGCGCAGCTATCTTGGCTTGCAGATCACCCGGGACAGAGCAAGGCGCACTACGTGGCTCCCGGTGGGCACCGAAAGGTGCGCTGGGATGCTGCGAAGAGGGTATCTCGATACTCCAAGTGCACCTAGACCCCGTCCTCCAAGCATGAGCCCCATGCCCAATGTTCTGCACAGTTGTTAGGCTGAGATCTACGCAGGGGCCATGGCTGCACAGGAGTTACGCTGGCTCACCTACCTGCTGACTGACTTGGGAGAGCAGCCTCGCTCGCCTCCAGTTCTGTACGTAGACAACAAGGCCATGATTGCCTTGTGTCAGGAGCACAGACTGGAGCACAGAACGAAGCACATCGCTCTGCGATACTTCCTTGCTCGAGAGTTGCAGCAGGTGGTCAGCTTTGTCTAGCATACGTGGCCACTAGGGCCAACACTGCTGATATATTCACCAAGGCACTTCAGTCTGGTGATCATCAGCGCTTCTCTACTGTCTTAGGCCTTGTGCCTACTTTGCCTCACTTGCTCACTGCGTGACTTTGCTTGTACTGTGATCTACATATATACCAACATGCTTACTCTTGCTAGGGTATGATCACTGTACTGTTTGTGCTCTTTATATAACACTACAGGTGAACTGGCCTTGTGGCCCTTTGCTTGTGCTCGGACTGTGTGGTGACTTTGTTATCCACCCTGAGCTTGCTTTGCTTTTCTTGACTGGTCGTGTGACCACTTGTTCTCCCCCACTTTGCCTATGGGGGTGTGTCAGAATGTTATATTGCTTGCTTTGTGTAGGCTATAGTGGGGTAGCCCATAAGGGGTACAACCCAATTAGGGTTAGTACTTGTACCCAACTTCTGCTCAATGCATTCATCCTCGCTCATTCTTCTGACACAACACCCAAGGTCCCCCGTCCCAGTGACGATGCAATTCTCTTGACTCAATCGATGTTTCTGCACATATGAAAAATAAAGACAAGTACATGCTTTGACGGCTGAGACTTCTATACCTGGAGCTTCGAACTGGAGGTGCTACTGCAAAACGCACATATATTCCACTATTTTGACGAGAGTTACGTGGGACATACGGTCGACACTGAAGAAGCCAAAGTGCAGTACCACAACAACTCGCTTATGGCATAGAGCGTGTTGCTTTGCAACATTTCACCAGCGGAGCAGCTGGGAATTCGCTCCTACAAAACATCACCCGCTCCGGCAATAGAAGCTTGGCGACACCTCACAAAGGTGTATCAGCCCAACAAATCCGTGACATCGAGCCGACTTCTCCAGCAACTGATGGAGATCAAAATGGGACCATTGAGAGCGCTTTTATGGAAGTGGGTCTTCCTAGTGAAGAGCGCAGCAGGCGGAACCACTGAGCGCTTTAAGGCGCGCTGGGTCGTACTCGGTTATGATCAGAGGCATTTGACCAGACGTTTTCTCCGGTTAGCCGTCATACCTCAGTCAAAATTCTTCTCACCATCGCTGCAGCAAGGCACTTACCTCTCCGCCGGATCGACGTGAAGAAGCGTTCCTATATGCGTTGGTGGATGCAGTGATTTTTTTGGAGGAGCCGCACACCTACTGTGAAGGTAACCCACGCGTTTGTCAGTTGAAGAAGTCCCTTTACGAGATCAAACAAGCGCCACGGCTCTGGCAGCACCACCTGCACAAAACCCTGCTCGAGATAGGATTCACAAATTTGCCGCACGACCCATGCATGTATCGCCTCCACTTTTGCGGCGATTACATCCTGCTGACCGTTGATATCAACAATTTACTCTACACAGGGACAATCAGCACTCAACTTGACCAGTTTGGGCCTAGCAATGCGCGTCGACATCACCACCAACAATGGCGTGGAGCAGTTCCTGGGCCTGAACATCACCTACGCACCAGACGCCATCCACCTCTCAGCTGCCAAGTACGCTTAAATACTTGAGAAACGGTTCAACATCTCCCCTGCACCGCTCTCCACTCCCTATCGCACGCCCGGACCGAACCACAAACCCGACAACAAAGCCCTATCCCCGCAGGCCTTCACACTTATCAGCAGCAGCTCAGATGCCTGCAGGCCAGATCTCTCACACATTCCAAGTCAAGATGGCTTAGTATTTGCGCAAACCAACGGCTGAAAATCTTCAAGATCTTCAGCACGCCCTGCAATTTTTCATCTCCACGCCCAACATTGGGCTTTGCTACTCCACTGTCACAATTCCCTCCTTCAACCTCATCGGCTACGTGGACACAGATCACGCTAATGACCTCGACAATCGACGGTTCAGGACCGGTTCCTGTTTCACCTCGAACCAAGTAGACTCATCTCTTGGAATTTACAGAAGCATGGACTGGTTTCCCTGTCATCGGCGGAAGCAAAGTTCATCGCTGCAAGAGCAGTAGATCTTGGGGGGCTTTATCTACAGGAGCTCCTTCAGGAGGCAAAAATTCCAACTTCGCCAACCTTCGGCCTACACTGTGATAACCAGAGCATGATCATGATCGCGAACAAACCAGAATTCATCAACCGCACCAAGCACATGGTGCTACGATATTTCTTCGTCAAGGACGAAGTTGACTAGGGTAAGGTCGATTTGACCTACTTCCCGACAGATGACATCGCAGCCAACTTCCTAACGAAGTGACTGCCCTGTCAGCAATATTAGCACTGCTCCTAACTCGGCAGAGTGGTCAAGCGAGTGAAGACTTGCTACGGCCAGGAGTGAAGGGGGGGGTGTTACAAATAGCAAATTCTGAAGAACTGTGCACTCCTAACAGAAGCAAACGAGGAACACAATGAAGGGTACGAATGCGAAGAGTCAAAATGATGCGAAGATCCACAAACAGTTAAGCAGCATTTGGACCGTCAGAGCATATAGCATCAGGCAGCTGCAGTGCCGAGGATTATGGCGGGAACAGGTTTGTAACCGTCTGGAGTCGCACGGTTGGATTTCGCTGCAATAAGGGAATGTACCCCTTCGTATTCCCCTATACTCTTATGTAAACAAATGTGTTTGCGTGTTTTTATCATCTCTGTCATTTTGAAATCCCTCTGACGTAAGTTCAAATCTTCCGCTGCAACAAACTCTTTGCGTACCTTCTTGGGGTAATCCTAGGCACGATCAATCTTCTGATTGCAACAAACTTTCCAATTATTGCGTGCTCTATATTAGGGTGACGCGATTTTGGCTAGTGGGTGCTCTGTATATGATAATGTGCTATTGCCACACCATTGGGAATGCTGATATAATATTTTAAGTATTCCAACGGCTAGAACCAACACAATTTTTTTAGCTTTGTGTCCAGTTTGACTTGGTTGGACGGCATGTCGATTTTTTCACCCAATGAGACGAAACGCTGGTCCTATCAATGACTTCAAAATTGTGCTTGATATGGTTTCTTTAGCCATCTTTCTTACAAAGTGGGGAGGGGGGAAAGGGGGAGGAGGGGGGGGGGGAGGGGGGAGAGGGAGGTGTCAAAATCAACTGTGCAAGAATGGATTGGATTAGCAAGAGTTGGGGTACAAGTACTAACTCTAGAAAAGCTGTACCCCATAAGGAGTGCCCCACTATAGCCTACAAGTAAGATTGTACTTTGACACACCCCCATAGGCTAAGTGGGGGACAACAAGATGGTCATAAGACCAGTCAAATAAGACAACAAAGCAAAGCAAGGCAAAGCTCAGGGTGGATCTCAAGGACACCACACAATCCGAGCACAAGCAAGCGACCACAATGCCAGTTCACATTCAGAGTCATAAGAGCAAGGCAGTACACTGATCACAACATAGCAAGAGGAAACATGCAGGTATAAATATAGATATCAGTGTACAACAAGTGCAAGATCAAGAGACAAGCAGCTGAGGTGGAACGGGAAGGAGCCCAAGAGAAGTGCAAAAACGCTGAAGATCACCAGACCCGAGGGCCTTGTTGAAGACATCAGCAGTGTTGGCCCGAGAGGCCACGTAAGAAAGGCAAAGCTGACCACGCTGCTACAGCTCTCGAGCAAGAAATTAGCGAAGAGCAATGTGCTTCGTTCTGTGCTCCAGTCTCTGCTCCTGACACAAGGTAAGCATGGCCTTTTTGTCGACATACAGAACCGGAGCAGAACAAGGCCGCTCCCCCAAGTCGGTCAGCAAGTAGTTCAGCCAGCGTAGCTCCTGTGCAGCCATGGCCCCAGCGTAGATCTCGGCCTCACAGCTGGAACCAAGCATAGAAGAAAAACGAGTGGACCTCCACGAGACAGAACCGGAGCCAAGACTGAAGGTGTAACCCTATGACGAACGCTGAGTCGCCTGGTCGTCAGCCCAAGAAGCGTCAAATTGTCCTGTGAGTACCACTGAACCTTGTCCTCCAAGCATGAGCCCCATGCCCGATGTAATGCACAAGTGACGTAGTACCCTCTTTGTAGCATTAAAATGCACCTCTTGGTGTCTACCAGGAGCCACGTAGCGAGCCAGGAGGCTAAGAGGGTACGCGAGGGCAGGCCGTGTGCACGTCATCAGGTACATGAGGCAACCCACAAGCTCTGGGCACGGACCACTCGGCTCTACGGACTCGTCCGAAGGTGGAGCTGAGAGCGAGTGGCTGGCAGACAGAGGAGTGGGTTATGGCAAGGAATACTGGAAGCCAAAGCGCCGAAGGACCTGGTGCACTATGTGTGACTGAGTCAAGGTGATGGTGCGCCGTGCTCTGTCCCAGGTGATCTGCAAGCCAAGATAGCTACGCAGCTCACCCAGGTCAGTGCAAGTGTGTCTCTCCTGCAGCTCCGCCTTCACTAGGGCCAGCGCCTCAGTGTCAGCAGTAGCAAAAACCAGGTCGTCGACGTACACGAGAACATAGAATGGCGGCAGGGTAGTGTCAGTGCGTAGAATCAGCGACGGGTCAGCAGAGGAAGGAGCAAACCCAAGAGCCGCAAGTGTAGTCCTCAGTGTGTCGTGCCACTCTCGAGGTGCTTGGCGGAGACCATAGAGTGGCCGGTGGAGGCTCCACTGGGTACCCGCAGGAAACGACCCAGTGAAGCCAGGTGGGCGGCACAGCCAGATCTCCTCGTGAAGGCTGCCCTGCAAGAAAGCTGTGGAGAAGTTGAGGGAGTGCAGCTCGTAGTCACGCTATGCTGCAAAGTGTAGCAACACCCGAAGAGTAGTCATCTTCGGGGTGGGGGAGAAGGTATGGAAGAAGTCGACCCCCTGTCGCTGACTGAAGCCTCGAGCAACGTAACGCGCCTTGAAGGCAGGCGGAGAACCCGGCGGCCGCTTCAATCTGAAAATCCACATGCCATCGACTATGTTTGCCCCAGAAGGAGGAACCTCGTCGACGTAGGTGCCTGTGGACTTCCATGAAGTCATCTCTGCGTCCATGGTTGTCTGCCACTGAGAGGAGTACTCACCCGCGATCGCCTTAGTGTAAGAGCGCGGGGTAGGGATGTCAAGTGCATCCGGGTCTCCCTCAGGGCAAAGCAGCATGGATGCGAAACGAGGTAAAGCGGTCGTAAGACACTCAACCTCAAACTGCATGTCCTCAAGGACGTCACTGCTAAGGGCAGGCTCACCCCCGACGGACGGAGGACAGACAGACTCAGACTCAGTAACAAGACTCGTGGCGTAGTCGAGACGACTCCTAGCTGCAAAGTCGGCTAGCTCAGTGGCTAGGGCAAACGCAGCAGTAGACTCAAAGTCAGAGTCAGTGACTACCGTAGCGAGGAGACGAGTGACACTAGGACTAGCAGCACGAGCAAGGTTGGACTCAGGGTCAGGAACGTGCGGAATAGAGGACGCGGGAGGCTCAGGCAGGACAGCACGCTGTGGAACAGAGGAAGGACGAAGTGCCATACCGTGAGTGCCTGGGACAGCAGGAGGAAGAGGACAAGCAACACAACGAGCACGAACAGGTGTTGAAGCACGAGTCTCAGGCTCAGGACGCTCAGTCAGGGACTCAGTCACCTCAGTGTGAGGAGCAGGAGCAGGCAGCGGGGAGCCAGGCACTAGCTGTGGCTGAGACTGGTCTGTCGGTGGACACTGGAGAGGTGGAGTGAGGCCAGTGGAAGACGGGAGACTAAGAACCTGGCGAAGGACCGAGTCAGGCGACGGCAGGGACGACTACGGCTGCGGGTAGAAAAATGGTCGCCGCGGGGCAGTACCAGCAGCTCCAGCTCCTCCAGCACCAGTAGCACCAACACCTCCAGCACCAGCAGCTCCAGTAGCACCTCCAGCACCTCCAGCACCAGCAGCACCACGAGCTCCAGCAGCGCCAGCACCTCTAGCACCAGCAGTACCTCCAGCACCTCAAGTGCCAGCAGCTCCAGTAGCACCTCCAGCACCTCCAGCACCAGCAGCACCACCACCTCCGGCAGCTCCAACAACTCTAGTACGAGCACCTCCAGGACCAGCACCTCCAGCACCTCCAGTACCTCCAGTACCTCCAGCTCCAGCGCCTCCAGTACCAGCAGTACCTCCAGCACCTCCAGTGCCAGCAGCTCCAGTAACATCTCCAGCACCTCCAGCACCAGCAGCACCACCTGCTGCGGCAGCTCCAGCACCTCTAGTACAAGCACCTCCAGGACCAGTAGCTCCAGCACCTCCAGTACCTCCAGCTCCAGCGCCTCCAGCACCAGTAGCACCTCCAGCGCCTCTAGTGCCAATAGCACCTCTAGCGCCTCCAGTACCAGTAGCACCTCTAGCCCCTCCAGCACCAGCAGCACTAGCACCTCTAGTACCAGCAGCACCACCACCTTTGGCAGCTCCAGTACCTCCAGTACGAGCACCTCCAGGACCAGCAGCTCCAGCACCTCCAGTACCTCCAGCTCCAGCACCTCCAGCACCAGCAGTACCTCCAGCACCTCCAGCACCTCCAGCACCAGCAGCACCAGCACCTCCAGTACCAGCAGCTCCAGCACCTCCAGCACCAGCTGGACCTCCCTAGTAGCTCCGGCACCTCCAGCACCAGCATCACCTCCAGTACCTCCAGTACTAGCAGCTCCAGCACCTCCAGCACGAGTAGCACCTCTAGTACCTCTAGCACCAGCAGCCCCTACAGCACCTCCAGCAGTACCTCCAGCACCAGCAGCACCTCCAGCACCTCCAGCAGTACCTCCAGCACTTCCAGCACCAGCAGTACCTCCAGGACTAGCAGCTCCAGCACCAGTAGGACCGTACCCTCCACCACCAGGACTGCCTCGCCGAACGATCCACACACGAATTGCCTGCGGCGAGAGCGTCTCGAGTAGACCAGGCTGCTGCGGCTGTCCAGCACCAGGACCTCCAGCCGGGTCACCCACAGCTCCGCCGCCACTTGGACTCGCAGCACCCCCAAAGTCAGCACCCCCAGAACCCTCACCCTCTGTCTCAGCACCCCCAGAACCCTCACCCCCAAGCTCAGCACCAGCAGTCTCAGCTCTAGAGTCCATAGCAGCAGGCTGCGGAGGCGACGAAGACGGCCGAGGCGGAAAACCAGGGGGGGTCTCCAAGCGTGGAGAGCGGCGAGTGGCCGCCGTGTCGTAAGCGGCGGGGTCACCCCCCTTAGCTGGGCCAGAGGAGTCAGAAGAGATCTCCACAGGCTCAACCAAGGGGGGTGGGTCTACCTGAGACACACTTGAGGGAGCAGGACCCTGTGGGGGGAGGGGGTTCACCAGGGGGGGGGACTGGTACCAGGACGAGAGGCGCTAGGGGGACCGGGTGGGATGCATGCGGGTGTAGCCTGTAGAAACAGAAAGACTCGTCAAAGCTGGCGTCCTAGGAGGAGAAGACTCGACGCTCGCGCGGGTGGTAGAACTGCCAGGGCGGGGCGTCGGTGGGGAAGCCAAGGAAGACGAGAGAGAGGAGAGCTTGCTCGCTTTGGCATCGCGAACAAGGGAGAGCGCGCCCCAGACCCGAAACACCGACGCATCGCCAACCTTCCCCGTCCACCGGAGTGTGGGCGAGGTCTCTTGCTCAGAGACAGGGGCCAGAGGTTGAGCTGATGCGCAGCGTATCGGACCGCAAACGGCCACAGAAAATGGGGAGCAGCCGCATGGATCATGGAGGTACGAGCAACCTCCATGATCAAGCCAATGCGACGCTCAGTAATCCCATTCTGCTGAGGAGAGGCCAGAAGCGTGAACGTCAGGCGGATGCCCTCGTCTCGACAAAACTCCTCAAGGAGGCCAGAAGAGAACTTACTGCCCCTGTCAGAGTGCAGACGTAAGACTAGCAAGTCCCGACAAAACCGCTCGCGCAGTTGGCGACGAGTAGCACGGATCCAGGGGATCAAAACACCGCTGACATCTGCCTTGCGCCGCAAGGGGAAGACAGTGGTGTAGCGTTTGTAGTCGTCAACAACCAGCAGGAAGTAGCACTCCTGGTCCATTCCACCGACGAGGGCCGGGCCCCAAACGTCCATGTGGAGAGTCTTCAGAGGAGCAGTGGTCGGAGGAAACTCGGAGGAGTGAGGAGCGGCGCGCTGCCGCCCCTCGAGGCAGGGAAGGCATGGCGGTGCAGGCGAGCGCGGGAGGGAGGGCAGGGACCTGGGAAGGCCAGAGATAAGGAGACGGGAGTGCATGCTGCGGAGACGCGGCAGCGAGGGGTGACCTAGGCGGTGGTGCCAGAGGAGATTCTGGTGAGAGAGTACCCGACACGAGCAAGACGCTGCAAGCTGACCAGACGCAGACACTTGACTCGACGCAGCCACCTGACCTGACTCAGCCACCTGTGCAGACGCAGTGGTCAGTGTGCACAGGCCGGACCCAAGCTGACGAGTGAACGTAGCAAGGTGACGGCCAGTCCGTGAGCACTTACAGATCGCCACACGCTGTCCTCCAGGAATGAAGGTGTCAACCCATTCATCCTGGAGAACTGCGTTGCTCAACAAGTTCGTCGAGAACGCGGGGAGGTGGAGAAATGAGAGAGACCCGGAGGTGCTGCGAGTGGTGTGACTATGGTGCAATCACGAAAGAAGCAACGTGACGCGCCTGAGTCACGTGTGAAAGTGTGCAAGGCCTCAGCTGAGCGTCGGCACACTAGCACCTTGAGCGTCGGCAGACTCACGAGCACCTAGAGCTGCAGCAGACTCACTAGCACCTGGAGCAGCAGCCTCTACACAATCAGGGACGCATCGCTAAGAAGCACAGTCGCGAGGCCGCTGCAGGGAGAAGGTGCTCTGCGGACACTACTGCCACCACTGTCAAAGTACAATCTTACTTATAGGCTATAGTGGGGCACTCCTTATGGGGTACAGCACTTCTAGGGTTAGTACTTGTACCCCAACTCTTGCTAATCCAATCCTTTCCTGCACAGTTGATTTTGACATGCTATCAAAGCAGGTCCCTCCTAGGACCTACCTCATTGGTCCCACCTTTTGCTTCCGCTCATGCGCCCTTCTGCCCGTCGTGCGCCCCGGGCGCGCGTCGTTTTCCTGCCCGTCACGCACCCCGGGCGCGCGTTGGTTTCCTGCCCATCGCGCGCCCCGGGCGCGCGTCGGTTTCCTACCCGTCGCGCACCCCGAGCGTGCAGCGGTTTCTGCCCGTCGCGCGCCTCGAGCGCGCGTCGGTTTCTGCCAGCCGCGCACCCCGGCGCGCCCTGCTGCAATGCGCACGCCTGCTCCTTCACTGCAGCCGTGGAGCAGCCCCTACTGTTAGAAGCTAGAGTAAGTTAGGCTTAGGAGCCATGGCTTGAGTAGCTTGGGGACTTTGGTTTGAGTATTGAGAGGGTTTTGCAAAGGAGAAAGATGGTTTCACTATAGCAAAACAAGAACATATATGGGGAAGGGAGGGGGTGCACCACCAAAAGAAGAAGCATATAGCTACACTAGGATCTACTGTAGGCAGGTATATTAATGTATACAAATACATTTCAACACACCCCCTAGCTGCTTACAGTGAGAACCATGTGCAACAGCACCCCCTGAAGGGGTACACCAGGCGCAGCTGAAGGAGGAGAGGGCAAGTGACGAGGAGGAGGGACCATGAGAGGAGAGGAGGTGGTGGGTGGCGGCTGAAGCTGCTGCACACGGGCAACTGGAGCAACTGGCACACTGGCAAATGGAGGAACTGGCACACGGGCAACTGGAGTAACTGGCTCCGCGGCTAAGCGAGCGGCAGGAGCAACTGACTCACGGGCGACAGGAGCAACGGGCTCACGGGCAACTGGCGCAACGGTCTCATGGGCGACTGGAGCTGCTGGCTTCACGGCGTTCACCCCCCTTCACCTTCCCCTATTTCCCCAAACCTCCCTTTCACACCCCTCAGCATCCCTACCGCCACTCCCTCAACTCCCCCACACCCTCCCCCCCCCCTCCCCCACAGCGGCATGTGCAGCAGTGGGAGAGAGAGGAGGAGAGACGGCAGCAGTTCACTCCCACCCACCACCCCCATACCCTCCCCCCCACTGCAGCACCCGCAGCAGGGGGATGGAGGAGAAGGGGGGGGGGGGCGGGGGGGCTGGTGCTGCAGATCCCCTCCCCCCCACTGCTGCCCCCGCAGCAGGGGGGGGGAGGAGAAGGGGGGGCGGGGGGGCTGGTGCTGCAGATCCCCTCCCCCCCACTGCTGCATCCGCAGCAGGGGGATAGAGGAGAAGGGGGGGCGGGGGGGGATGGTACTGCAGATCCCTTCCCGCCACCCCCATACCCTCCCCCCCACTGCTGCACCCGCAGCAGGGGAATGGAGGAGAAAAGGGGGGCTGGGGGGGGGGGGGGGGGGACTGGTGCTGCAGATCCATTCCGGCCACCCCCTTACCCTCCAAGAGCCCACCACCCCCATACTCCCCCCCCCCCCCCCACTGCTGCACCCACAGCAGGGGGATGGAGGAGAAGGGGGGGGCGGAGGGGCGTCAGTCGCGGGCGTAGGGGCGTCGGGCGACGGGCCAGGGCGCGTGGGCTAGGGGCGACGGGCCGGGCTAGGAGCGACGGGCCTACGGGCCGTGCTAGGGGCGACGGGCCGGCCTAGGGGCGACGGGCCTAGGGGCGACGGGCCGTGGCGACAGGCCAGGGGCGACGGGCCGGGGCGACGGGCCGAGGGGCAACGGGCAACGGGCGACAGGCCGGGGCCGGGGCCTAAGGGCGACGGGCCGAGGGACGACGGGCTAGGGGCCGGGGCCTAGGGGCGTCGAGCGACGGGGCCGGGCCTAGGGGAGCGACGGGCGACGGGGCCGACGGGCCTAGGGGCGGCGGGCGCGAGCGACGGGCCGGGGGCCGGAGTCTAGGGGCGACGGGCGTAGGGGCGACGCGCGACGGGCGACGGGCTAGGACCGGGGCCTAGGGGCGTCGGGCGCGAGCGACGGGCTAGGGGCCGGGGCCTAGGGGCGACGGGCCGAGGGGCGACGGGCCTAGGGGCGACGGGCGCGAGCGACGGGCCGGGGCTGAGAGCTAGGGGCGACGGGCCGGGGCCTAGGGGCTACGGGCGACGGGCCGTGCCGAACGTCGAGAGGAGGGCCGCACGAGGGCGGCGCGCAGGGCAGCAGGTGGTGGGCCCAAGGTTCGTAATCACTCTAATACCATGTTAGAAGCTAGAGTAAGTTAAGCTTAGGAGCCATGGCTTGAGTAGCTTCGGGACTTAGGTTTGAGTATCGAGAGAGTTTTGCAAAGGAGAAAGATGGTTTCACTATAGCAAAACAAGAACATATATGGGGAAGGGAGGGGGTGCACCTCGAAAAAAAGAAGCATATAGCTACACTAGGATCTACTGTAGGCAAGTATATTAATATATACAAATACATTTCAACACCTACCCCCCCCCCCCTTTTCTACTCCCTCTCCCTGCTGCGCGTGCAGCAGGGGGGGGGGGGGGGGGGGAGAGTTTGGGGATGGCGGATGAGAGTAACCAGCCGCCCCTCCTCTCTCTCTCACTGCTGCACATGCCGCTGTGGAGTGGGGAAGGGTGTGGGGGAGACATGGGAGTGGCGGTAGGGATGTCGAGGGTGTGAAGGGGGGTTTTGGGAAAATGGGGGAGGTTGAAGGGGAGTGGCCGCCATGAAGCCTGTAGCTCTAGTTGCTAGTGAGCCCATTGCTCCAGTCGCCCGTGAGCCCGTTGTTCCTGTAGCCCGTGAGTCAGTTGCTCCAACCGCTCGTCTAGCCGCAGAGCCAGTTACTCCAGTTGCCCGTGTGCCAGTTTCTCCAGTTGCCCGTGTGCCAGTTGCTCTAGTTGCCCATGTGCCAGTTGCTCCAGTTGCCCGTGTGCCAGTAGCTTCAGCTGCCGCCCACCACCTCCTCTCTTCTCATGGTCCCTCCTCCTCCTCACTTGCTGTATGCTTCTTCCGCTGCGCTCTGCCTTGGGTGTACCCCTTCAGGGGGTGTTGACTGCACTGGTTATTGCTGTGAACACTTTAGGGGGTGTGTTGAAAACATATTTTATATAAACTGTCCTTTGCATTAACTGTAGTGTAGGTTCATACTTTGTTGGTGGTGCACCCCTAACTCTTGCCTATATGTACTGTTGTT